GGATGAATTACTATATGGGGGATTAATTACTATGCTTACTATGGGGAATATTACTATACTTACTATGGATGACACATACACATCATTCATCTACTCTTGGTCCGGCCCCCGGGTCCAATATATGAACCCATTGCGGCCCTCAAGTCAAAAAGTTTGCCCACCCCTGACCTAGCCTAAGTAAAGAATACGCAATCAGGTACAGTTTTTTTGCTTGCACATGATTGGATGATGGAAATCAGCTGAGCTTTACCACATTTACTAATCTCTGCGGAAATTGAGCGCAGATGCACTTGCAAAGTGCACAGTTGATTTGCTTTTACTAAATCCATCCCATTATGTTCTTCCTCCCTTACGTGTATTTTTTTTTATAAATTGTATTAAACTGCATAAGGTTGTACTTTCTTTCTATAGTATGCTGACATCTAGTGGTCGTTCTGGGCATCTGCAACTTGTTTACAAATGTGATTTTGGTATCTTCTTCTGTTCTCCCCACCTATTTACTGCTAGTTTAGTTCTAGCTAGACCCACCCTATTTTTTCCATGTTCCCTCAGTCATTGTTAGCACTTCTCAGAGACATGGCTTAGGAAAATCATGATCTTCTTACACTTCAAAAGTCTGTACTGTGAAAAAGTTATATGTGAATCACAGCACCAGGGGCGGACTGACAACTCATGGGGCCCCTGGGCAATAGGGGATCATGGGGCCCCTGTCTCCTTGCCCAAACTCAAAAAAGCCTATGAAAAAGGTAACAGGGGCATCTCATGGGGCCCCCTACTGACCCCGGGCCCTTGGGCAGTGCCCGAGTTTCCAAATGGTCAGTCCGCACAGCACTCCCCCTAATCTCTTTCAGCAGCTAGCCAACACTAACATGTGTTTTCCCACATTTGTTAAATTCAGTTTGTGTGCAATGCTACTTACCTACTCCTACTAAGGCTGGCCATACAGTATACAATTTTCTTGAGATTTTTGCTTTAGATTTACCAAAAAACATATAATAGGAAGTCAAATCTAAACAACACTTCCAATGGTATCTAGTTAGGCAGGCCCTTGCACTACATAGCTGAAGGTAAATCCAAAGGAAATTGGACTGAAAATTGTATGAAAATTGTATAGTGTATGGCCAGCCTAACTCAATAAATCGGTATTGCCTATCTACTATATATGTGCTATTATATATAATCCACTCTTTATCAAATAATGTTTATAAACCAACTATTTGTAGTGTTTCCTCCACCAGCCCACTGTGCTATTAACTACTTGCTACCCAGGCCAATTCTGATATTTCTCTCCTGTAAGTAAAAGTCTTCTTTTTTTTTTTTACTAGAAAATTACTTAAAATCCCCAAACATTTTTTTTTGTAATGTGGTATTTAAAACTTTTTTTTACACTGTCTCTTTAATTTTTTTTATCAACTTTATTGCTTTCACAAGAGATGAACAAAATCCCTTGTGAAAGCATGGGTTGTGACACGTCCTCTTTATGAAGAGATCTGGGGTCTATTGGACCCCGCTAATGGGCGGGTAAACAAACAGCTGAAACTGAAAACGCCAAAATCCTCATCGCTTCCGGTTTCACAGAGAGGGAGAAACAATGTCAGTTCCTTTCTCTCTGTGTAGTGAAGCCATTGCTGCCAGTTGCAGCTGTCCCGGGCTCCCCAATTGGACGTGAGAGGCTGGGAGAGGCAGAAGTGGGAGTAGGGAATCCCTTCTGCCCAGGGGTGTATTTACCACAAGGCAAACAAGGCATTTGCCTAGGGTGGCATTTTTCAGGGGGCAGCAGCATTTGTCAGGGGGGCAGCGTTGCCCCCCGAAAGAAGGAAAGGAAGAAGGGACACACACAGCACCAGGACCAGGTGGGATCTGAGAGAGGCTGCGGGCTGCTTGATGGTGTATGCAGAGCCTGACTCTTGTTCCCGGGGATGTCTGGAGCTGTGAAGGTGAGTGTCTTATCTCTTGTTGGGGTGGGGGAGTGGGGTTTGCCAGTGTATGGGGGGCCAAGTAGTGGTAGTGGCGGTGGTAGTGGAAGGCTCTCTTGGGTGGGGGTGGGAGGCTGGGGTGTTGGTCAATGTCAGGCTCTCTTCATGGGGGAGGATGGTGTTGGTCAGTGTCAGGGTCTCTCCGTGGGGAGGGGAGCCAATTTTTGTGTTGCCTAGTGCAGCACGAAACCTAAATACACCACGGCTTCTGCCACCAGCAGAAGTCACTGAGTGGCTGTTCAGCCACTCGTATCACTTCTGCCTTACAGGGAATCACTAGCTGAACATTTTGATACCAGGATGATGCCTGCAGGTGCAAACATCAACCCGGTATAACCTCTTACCTTCAAGGACATCATATGACGTCCACCCTGCAGGAAGTGGTTAAATACAATTATAGTCCATCATACTGAAGAATCAGGGGCGGACTGACCATTTGGAAACCCGGGCACTGCCCGAGGGCCCGGGGTCAGTAGGGGGCCCCATGAGATGCCCCTGGTACCTTTCAAAGGCTTTTTTGGGTATGGTTTGAGTTTGGGCAAGGACACAGGGGCCCCATGATCCCCTATTGCCCGGGGGCCCCATGAGTTGTCAGTCCGCCCCTGTGAAGAATAAACATTCTTGAAATTTGACGTTCAATCCAGTATCACAGTGAGCCACAGTAACCACCCTTCTTCCTCCACCCTGTAAGCACTCAGCTTTTGGTGTTTCTCCTGCAAATTATTGAGGTCAAAGCCAGCCTCACTGTTCATGGGTTACAATGCCACCATTCTTCCTTTGTATTTCCTCCTTCCTCAAGCCAAGCATCAAATAATATCTATGAGCTTCTGGAGCCTATCCATAAAAATGTTTCTGCTAATGTAGAGATAAGTATGAAACTTTCTAAACCCACAGCATATCATCAGCAAGACCAAACACAACACTTACAATTACGTGTACACAATCCCCACTTCTTATCTTCATCGTAATCTGCTGTTGTAGCGCACCAGGGACGCCCCTCAAAGCGGTCATCACTGATACATTCCGAATACCACTTGGAATTATACTTAAATGGGAAGACACAGGGCTCGCCATTTGCATTTCCACCTACAGCAGAGATCACTGTGGAAAAAAGTAAAAAGTTACTTAGCAAGGAAAAATAATATACAGAAGTCATTCTCTATACCAGCCTTTCTCAACCAGGGAGCCCAGGCACCCTGGGGTGCCTTGAGGTTTCTTCAGGGATGCCTTGACAAAATGTCTAAAAATTGCCCAAAACCTGTATACAAGCCAGCGGGTGGAACAAGCCTGCCTTTTAGTTACACAAAGCCTCAGGTTTTCATTGTGCACCAATACAACCTTCTAGCCATCGGCATCATGACAGCCAATGACATCATCAGTTGATATGGAGGATGTCAGCTGCCTGCACAACATCCTATTTTGACCCTTCCCAGCCCCTCCCCATCAGTGCTGGGGTCACAATAGCTCAGTGACGGAGAAGAGAAACACTGGAATACTAGTCAGTACCAGTGTGCAAAAATGTATTTGCTTTGGAAGAATAAATTACACGGGTGTCCTACATGTATGGATGTTGCGTTATATAGAACTATTAGAATAGTTTTTCACATTTTAGAATGGGGTGCCCTTTTAAATTATGGACAGTCTTAAGGCACCCCATTTTAGAATGGGGTGCCTCAAGACTGTTCATAATTTTAAAGGGTGCCTCACTTTTAAGAATGGGGTGCCTCAAGACTGTTCATAATTTTAAAGGGTGCCTCGGGACTGTCCATAATTTTAAAGGGTGCCTCAAGACTGTTTTAATTTTAAAGGGTGCCTCGGGACTGTCCATAATTTTAAAGGGTGCCTCGGGACTGTCCATAATTTTAAAGGGTGCCTTGGGACTGTCCATAATTTTAAAGGGTGCCTGGACTGTCCATAATTTTAAAGGGTGCCTCGGGACTGTCCATAATTTTAAAGGGTGCCTTGACTGAAGAAAGGTTGAGAAACACTGTTCTATACACATATTGGATACAAAAATGTATCAAGGAGAAGAAAAAAACAAATAATGAGAGGAATCCCATACTAACCATCAGACCTTTTATAGTGTAGAACAGAGGTTTAGAATTAAAATTAGAGTCCATTCTGTCTTATAAACAAGTGGAACTCATATTTGATTGACCCTGGCTTTACAAACACTAATAACACAAAAAATAACATGTTTTCATCGTAATACTCACTTGTGTTGGTTGCATGGGACAGACGCCATCCACAGCAGAAGAGCAGTGCAAGCCCAAAGTACCTGTTCATCTTGTCTGTTGGTCTGTATTGCTGATGAGGTCTTCACCAACAACTTATATTAGCCTACCAGATCAAACAAACCTTTCTCTGGAAATAGGATATGTCATGGAAGGGCAAATAAATTGCTTCACAGTTTTCCAAAGAAGAATTTGCAAGGTTTTAATATGTTATTTATTTTATCAATATTCTCCCAAAGTTCTTTTCAGTGTGATCACATTTTATTTACCCTCCATACAATCTCCAACCCAAAAAAAAGCTGACATTGCATTAACCTCCCTAGCGGTCTGATTATGTCAGTATTTCTGTGCTCAAAGCGGTACATTGTTTTCAATGGAAATATGTTTTTTTTTTTTGCAGGCCTGTAATTCTTATGCAATAACTCACTGAAATCTGTCCAAACAAGAGTCTAGTAAACATCCCGGGTAGGATAAAATTTGAAACACGAAATCCTACATTATAATATAATAAATAATCATAAAAAATAATAATATAATAATAAAAAAAATAATTCAATGATGTAATCAAACCAAAAACACTGAAATGTGAAATATAGCGCCAAGTTCGCACATCACTGAGCAAAGTCGCAAAATCATTTTCAGTGTCTGATGATGAATTTCCCCATGAATTATTATCACTCAATTCTGCAAGTGGTTCTGATTTACTATCGCTGTTCTCTAGCTGGCTTAAAACCGCTTTTGACCTAAAGGGACGCTTTTTGGACGCCATGGACATTTCTTATTTTCCAGGCAGAAAGAACAGTAAAAATGCAGGCAGGGCGCAGGACAAAGCACTTGGGACAAAATGTATGTGAAATGGTTTGATACAGCAATGTTTTACTATGTGATTTTAGAGTATTGGGTGAATGTCACTTTTTTAAAATTTTTGAATTTCCAGCCTGGTTCCATCCCCCCGTACGTCCCGACGCTCACAGGGAACGGAACCCAGAAGACGGATGCTGGCATCGGCCGGAGGAGATGGCTGGGGACACTGCAGGGGGGACATCGCGGGAGCGCAGGACAAGGTAAGTGCTGCAGGGTAATCCCTGAGCAACCGCAGGGTAATCCCGAGTGTAACTTGGGGTTACCGCTTCTGGTACTAAAAGTTATCCCAGAGCTACACTTGGAAATACCGCCAGGGGGGTTAAAAAAGCAAGCTCCGCATATTACCCAAGGTCTTCCATTTCTTAGCCCTCATGCACACTTGATGTTTTTACAGCTGCTGTTTTTGCCTTTTCTTGGGGTTTTCTACAGCTAGTAAACCCCCCAGCATGTTATCCTATGTGTCCATGCACACATAGACTGTAATCATCATTTTTGGCTGGAAAAAAAACCCAGGACTAGTGGGTTTCTATAGGAGTTTTTTAGCTGGAAAAATGCTCTAACGCTGAATAACACGGTAAAACGCCGCAGACACCAAGTGCGTCAGTGGGGAGTGAGCAGTTTAGAGAGTAGTGACAGAACAATGGACCATCACCAACAGCGGCTCCTTCGGAAATTAGGTTTCTCTATCAACTATACTGCTAGCGTTCACTCTAGGATGATTGGACTAAAACCAAGAACTATTGCAGTGGTACCACTGTATGCAGATTCCACAGGGACTGTTTTCATGTGCATCACCATAAAGACTGGGCCCCAACATTGGCTGGCTGAAGATCTAGGGCATAAAATTATCTCTTTAGTTAAGCTGCTCTACAAGAACCCATTCATTGCCTATAGTAAAGTGGTACCACGGCAATAGTTCTGGGTTTTAGTCCAATCATCCTAGAGTGACCACTAGCAGTATAGTTGATAGAGAAACCTAATTTCCGAAGGAGCCACTGTTGGTGATGGTCCACTGTTCTGTCACTACTCTCTAAACTGCCCACTCCCCACTGACGCACTTGGTCATATACTAAGATAGTTTACACCTGTGGATTAAAAGGTTAGCAGACTTCCACTTTTAGAATGCACAGGAATAAAGCCACAAACAGCTGGGCAGTAAATCAGTTGAATGTATCTGGGCAATTAAATGGAATACGGTGGAAATCAACAAACAAATAAATACATAGAGAAAAGAGCACTATAATAGACACATGGGCAATGAATTGATAACTCGCACATAAAGAGACTACAGCGCTGTTAATTTGAATCTTAAATGGGTTACTAGAGTCTCTGAATAACTTCAACCAGTTCAGAAGAATCAAAAAGAGTCCTGGTGTACACCTTGTGCATACAACCCCAACAGCAGGCAGGTGTATGCATTCCTAAAGTGGGCTACCTCTGGAGGTACTTCTCTGCTCCAATGCCCAGGACATCTAAGTCTTCCAACTTTTTCAGAGCTATATACTTCAAGTGGTTGTTGTAGACGTCTCTCGTCAGTAAAGTCACTTGATCACCTTAGATGAGGAGAGCTCTTGTGTACATCCCTTCCAGTAGCACTAGTACTAATGGGGAAAAGCCAAATCAACATGTGAGAAACTTGGGTAGCATCAAGTGACGTAGCAGGCCTAGTGTATTGGACTTGTTTTCTTCTTTCATGGTGGTGAACGATGCTTCTCGTGAACGATGCTTCTCATGATGTTTTGGAGATCGCTTATGGGCACTTTTCTCTTGAACAGTGTGACTCAATACATGAGCCAGCATTCTTCCTTTAGATTGAATCTTTAGATTACTCAGGAGAGGTATCTTCTATCACCTTCCCAAGCTGCTCACTTGCTCTTCCTGCTAACAGGGTCACCATTTTTTTCAACTGAGACTTTTACCCTTTCAGTGTAGCAATTTCTGAGGTAATCTCCACTGAAACAGCCACTCTGACTTCAGCAACAGATTCTGAGTTCTGGTTCATTTTTTTCCAGCATAGCTTTTTCTTCTTGCACAGTCCTGTTAATTCAGGTTACTACAAGATGTCACCATCTTCTTGAGTCTTCAGCTGACCTGCTCAAACTTCACCTACTGTGCTGGAGTCTATATCTTTCTTCAGCAGCAGCAGATGCAATATCTTTTTAAGGAGCCTCATGTATTCATACAACTTCTCTCCCTTGTTCTGGCAGCTATGTTCAAACTGGTATGTAAGGTCAGAGGTCTTCTCTGTTCTCTTGAACACATCTTGAAGGATACTTGGGTAATCATAGGCAGTACACTCGGGTCTGCTGAGCTTCAGGTTCCCAATGGCTTCTAAGGCTAAGCCCCTTAAGCCTTCAGTGGTTCTCTGTTTCTTCTGGGCCTCAGAAATGTCCCATTCACCCAAGTCTTGCATGGCTTGCTCAAGTCATTCTTTGAAGCACTATACACTGGTAGGCATGGGCTGGTTGCCTGACAAGGCCCTCAGCTTTTGGTATCTGGATCCAGTGTATGTCAGCCTACTATTCTGACATTTCGCTGCAAACTTGCACTTGGTTTTTATTTTTATATAAACAAATGATAAAAGACCAAACTTTTGGAAAAAAACATATATTCTACTTTCGATTATAAAATATATGCAATTAAAAAAATAAATTCTTAATAAATTTAGACCAAAATGTATTTTGCTACATGGCTTGATTTTGATTGGGATCTGTGATTGGTTACAGCTAATCACATGGTACAGGTAGCCAGGTATCAATTGATTGCTGTAAGCCAATCACAGATCACAACAATAAGCAAGCTGTTAATGAATGAAAAGCCATTAATGGCAAGTTGTTTACATTGCTATCATGTGATCCCTATGACCAATCATAGCGATCACATGGTACCCGGTTACTGATTACTGGTAACTGAAGTCCATTGTGTATGGTACCGGAGCAGGCACAATCACATACATGTATGAGATTGTGCCTACACGTGCCTGCACCCTGTGGAGGGTCGATAAGTGGTTAAAAGAGCTTCTTCCAGCAAAACTGTATTTTTTAAAACAAGCTGGAAGCAGTGTTGGCATATTTTCCCCATAGCAGGGCCCAGCAACCCACACCCTTTTTTTAAGAAAAGCTTGCAAATTGACCTGAAAAAAGGCCAGAAAAGAATTACAAGATTTGGTTTCCATACATGTAAATGGGGTTCAGGTGCTATGTATGGGATTTGTGGGATTTTTTTTTTTCGCCCTACATACAGCAAAGTGAACTTCCTTTGGTGTGCTCATTACCTACTCCTATAGCATAGATTTTTTTTTTCATTCATGTGTGCCTTTAAATGGATTAGATTTAATATATTTAGCCAAAATCTGTGCATCCTTTTTCTTTTGACTCCACTGCCAACTCCACATACAGGATAATTGGCAGAACAGTTTCAAACTGATACATTGAAATTGGATTGGAGAAGATGTCGCTCTCATTGAGTCTGAGTGACACATTGGGGTTGATTTACTAAAACTGGAGAGTACAAAATCTGGTGCAGCTATGCATGGGAGCCAATCAGCTGCTAACTTCACCTTGTTCAATTAAGCTTTGACAATAAAATCTGGAAGCTGATTGGTTTCTATGCAGAGCTGCACCAGATTTTGCACTCTCCAGTTTTAGTAAATCAACACCATTGCAGTTTCCTCCAGAAATGGAACTAGTGACTGAGGGGAAGAAGTTTAAGTCAATGGTTTGGTAATTTCCCATTTCACACAGCACAGGGATCCTAATAAAACAGCCATTGTTCCATAGAAGGAGTTTTTGTAGAATTTCTCCTTTTTTTTATTATGCTGCAGAAACTTTTCTTTTAATAAAGACCTATTGTGACGGGAGTGACTTTTGGGGGTGGGGGGACCTCTGTGTCAGCTCATGTTCTCCCCATTATGTTTAACCCACCCTGTGCCTGTTAAGGGGTACAGGGTGTAAATGTGAAGATATTGTGTATTGGTGTGTTGTCCTTTGTCTTTGTTCTGAGCCATGTGGCTGTCCATTGTCTGTTCTTCTATGTGCTTCATCTCATTCTGTGTCTTGCTGGCCAGCAAACTATTATGGGATGCATGTGTTCCTGTATTGTACTGCCATGTGGTTATTCTTTTGTCTCGGCCACATGGCTGTCTATTGTCCTTGCCATGTGCTGCCCCATTGTTCTGTGTCTTGGTTGGATGGGGAGGGGTGATGACGTGTTTCCTGCCTATACTGTAGCCCTTCCCACTGATGGGGCGGGCTGATGATGTGTTTCCTGTTCCTGATTATGTTTCCCCACCCTCTGTATAAAACATGTTGTTTGTGTAAAATAAAGAGTTGTTGTTGGCTTCCTGTTTTAAGAAGAGCTGGGTGCTATTTCCTGAGGGATTTCCAGGGTGTGGTCCGTGGATGGTGTTCGGACAGGGGAAACTGCGATATAACGGAATATACCCAAGGGTGGTCGGGTTCCGGTTCCGTTACACCTATACATGAGGACGTGTTTCCTACCTATACTGTAGCCCTTCCCACTGATGGGGCGGGCTGATGATGTGTTTCCTGTTCCTGATTATGTTTCCCCGCCCTCTGTATAAAACATGTTGTTTGTGTAAAATAAAGAGTTGTTCTTGGCTTCCTGTTTTAAGAAGAGCTGGGTGCTATTTCCTGAGGGATTTCCAGGGTGTGGTCCGTGGATGGTGTTCGGACAGGGGAAACTGCGATATAACGGAATATACCCAAGGGTGGTCGGGTTCCATTCCGTTACACCTATACATGAGTCTAAAAACATTTTATATATGTACCTAATATGTAATATGTAATGGTTATTGAAAGAAAAATGCTAAATATTAGCTATGCGTTAGGACTCATTCACATGGATGGTGGGGGGGGGGGGGGGGGGGGGGGGTGCATAAAAGCAGGTTATTGAGCAAGTGGTTCACTTCACTACTAGGCACTTTCACCACCTTCTGCCCAATTCAATTTTCAGCTTTCAGCGCTGTTGCACTTTGAATGACAATTGAGCGGTCATGCAACCCTATACCCCTTTGAAATCCCACCCAAAACAAGGAACTTCCTGCCCATTCTACTTTAGGTTGGGATGGGAACTGGTTAAACCAGCCGGACTGCCCACCTAAGAAAGGACATGGAGTTGCTCAAGGCTATACACATGCTGCAGCTATGGCAAAAATCAACCACCTGTTGCATTCAGTTGCAGTACTGCTGCCGAACGGGAGTCATTTAAGGGCATTGGGCCACATGCAAAACAGGCACCCTAACATATACCATT